TTCGTTCAGGTGTTTTGAATCGTTCGAGGCATTTGCCATGGATGATACAAATTCAAGGACAACGAGTGCTATATGTGGGTGATTACTAAGCATCCTTAACTCCTGTCAGATGAGATGAGTTTTTGAAAAATAATTAATTTATAAATTTATCATATAGTTATGAGTGGTAATACGTTTGGACATGTGTTTGCTGTTACTAATTTTGGTGAGTCTCATGGAACGGCAATTGGCTGTGTCATTGATGGTTGTCCCCCTGGTTTACTATTAACAGAAGCGGATTTGCAAAAAGACTTAGATCGCCGTAAGCCTGGTACATCACGCTTTGTCACGCAGAGACAAGAAGATGACCTGGTTAAAATTGTTTCTGGTGTTTTTGAAGGAGTAACAACAGGGGCACCGATTGCTTTATTGATTCAGAACCAAGATCAGCGTAGCAAAGACTATGGTGACATAGCTGTGACATTTAGACCAGGTCATGCAGATTACACCTACTGGCACAAATATGGCATTAGGGACTATCGAGGTGGTGGACGTACATCAGCACGATTAACTGCACCAATGGTTGCAGCTGGTGGGGTTGCCAAAAAGTGGTTACGTGAACACAAGGGTATAGACATTAAGGCATATTTGGCACAAATTGGTTCGGTTGTTTTACCCTTCGAGAGTTGGGATTTTGTTGAACAGAACCCATTTTTTGCTGCTAATCAAAGTGTTATTGCCCAAGCAGAAACTTATCTTGAAGACATTCGTTTGGCGGGAAATTCTTGTGGTGCTTTGGTTAAGGCCGTTGTGAGCCATATGCCAGTTGGTCTTGGACAACCGTTATATGACAAATTAGATGCAGACATTGCTTATGCGATGATGGGTATTAATGCCGTCAAGGCGGTGTCCATAGGCGATGGTTTTGAGGTGGTAACGCAGTTGGGAAGTGAGCATGGTGATGAGTTGACCCCTGATGGTTTTAAAACGAATCACGCGGGTGGTATTCTCGGTGGAGTGAGCACGGGTCAGGATTTGCGGATTGCTTTGGCAATTAAACCGACTTCTAGCATTCTGATCGAAAAAGATTCGATTGATGTTGAGGGAATGCCTGTCAAGGTAAAAACCAAGGGTCGTCATGATCCTTGTGTGGGTATTCGAGCGATCCCGATTGTTGAGGCGATGTTAGCTCTGGTGTTGATGGATCACGTGTTGCGAAATCGAGCTCAGTGTCATGGTGTGGAGGTGCAAACTCCTGATATTGCACTAAACTCACGTGGATTATGACATGGGAAGGCCACAAATTTTATTATCGAATGATGATGGTTATTTAGCACCGGGTTTGTTGGCCATCTATGAGGAGCTGACTAGCTTCGCTGATGTTCACGTTGTTGCACCTGAACGAAACCATAGCGGCGCCTCAAGTTCCTTAACGCTCAATTTACCCTTGTCTGTGTATCAGGCCAATTGGGGGCCACAAAGAGGCTTTACTTATATCAATGGTACTCCAGCCGATTGTGTACATATTGCATTGACCGGTTTATTATCTGTCCAGCCTGACCTTGTTGTTTCTGGAATTAACCATGGGCAAAATATGGGCGAGGATGTGCTTTATTCTGGAACGGTGGCGGCGGCCTTAGAAGGTTATTTATGTGGTGTACCTGCAATTGCCTTATCTCAGGTTGATCGGGGGTGGGGGGAATTGAGTAGTTGTGCACAAGTGTGTGGAAAAATAATTTCAGATTTATTAATCAGGTTAAATTCTTGTAAGCAATTGTTTTTATTCAATGTTAACGTTCCGAATTTGCCGGCTGAACATTTGGCGCGAGTGGAAATGACTCGTTTAGGGGCTAGGCATCGTTCGCA